GAAAGGGGGGGGGACGCACGAGCGCGGGCCACTTCCCTCCCTCTGCCTGCCTGTCTCGCTGCCTGCTTTTCTCCCCGGCCAGCACGGCCCCGCATCACTCTCTCGGCGGCGGTGGTGGCGGCGGCTCCTTCCGACGGGCCCCCCACATGGAAGATCGGTAAGCAAGTTTTGCCCATTGGGGCCGACGCTATGCCTCCGCATTAGCGATCCCGGAAAAGGGATCGCTATGCGGATTCGTCGTTATACGGTGCGCTCGTAATATGAGGCACCACTGTACAATACAGTACTTTCTTCTTTCCATATAATTAATTGCCACCTTCTCTATCTATTTTAACCAGCTTAGCTCTATTAATATCTGTTCCTTCTCTCTCTGGCTCTCTGACTCTGACTAACTCCCTCCTGTCTGACTCTTGACTGATTGACTCCTGCTCTCAGGCTCTGCCTTTTAACCTCTCTAGTGGCCCCACCTCTCAACCACATCAGCATAAAACATGAATGATACATGATTTATTTAGCATAATAAGAGGTGAACACTACACCAGTGTTTGTTGATGTCCATGTGTTCCAGATTTCAAGCAATCATTGCCTGCAAAGGATTCTAAATAAATAAATAGCCTGCAAAGGATTCTAAATAAATAAATAAATTTATGTAAATGAACATTTTATTTCTGATTGTGTTAATTTATCCAATTATATTTGTGTTCCTGAAAGAAGGGGACTGTGTATGAAAATGGTTGCAATTCCTAAAAGTTTTATATGCTAATTTTGTTCAACCCCTTGAATTAAAGATGAAAGTCTTCACTTTAAGTGCATCTTGGTTGTTTCATTTCAAATGCCTTGTAGTGACATACAGAGGCAGAATTATGAAAATTGTTTCAGTGTCCAGTTTAATCTCAGTTTTTGAAATGTAACATATCAAGGACACGGACCTTAAAGTAGATAAAGATATGTAGTTTTTTAACATTAGAGTTTTCATTACTGATGGCATTTTCAGCCAGATGTCAGGAAGAACAGAGCAGTCTCCAGACTTAGGTACAACAGATGGTGATCAAACTTTGGGTAGTGTGCAGATGCTGAGAACAAGGTGGGCAGAGCCATTAATGAAAGTAACGCTAGCAAAGGAGCCTCCCTTTTTAATTTAATTACTGCTTGCATTAGGCATGTAGCTATGCAATAGCTTCCCTGTTGTTTTTGTTCCTGAGTTCTTCCTGTGAGACATGCATAGATCTGATCACTTCAGTAGGAGGAGGGAGATGCAGCTCCGCTCTGCTTACACGGGGTATTCCATACCACTTGTTGAAAGGCTCTGTCATAACTTTTGAACTAGTGGACTCACTAGGCCACAAAAATTACAGCATTCTAGGTCTTGCAATAGCATATCACTAGATCCATATAGCCACTCTCTGATGAGTTTAATCTCTTCAACCTTCCTCAGAGTCATCCCATATCTGCAACCTGCCCAGTAAATGTATCCTGTCCTGTGGAATATAAGTAGCATAGAGCCGTATGTGTCATTTTCCATAGTCCCAAGTACCAAAGGTTTGGCTACAATAAAATATTGAGAATGTGATTGTCAGATTAAATTCATTATTTTCAAGGAAGTGTCAATTCCTTTGCATACTTCTTTTACTATAAATCTTTAGACCTGCCTAGATATCTCAGTCGTCTTCTCTATTTAAAGTCTGGCCTGTTTACCTAAATTACTTGCTCTTTTGGCCTAGGCTGCACAGTCGGTGCTGATCTCTCTGTTTGAACTCAATACCCCAGAGTTTACAATGTTGCTGGGTGCTTTACCAAAAACTTTTCAGGATGGTGCCACAAAGTTACTTCATAATCACCTCCGGAACACAGGAAATGGTGGCCAGGTATTTTCAGATTATTATTCTCATTAAAATATTTGAGGATTTAAAAACTATAATAAAGATTTAAAGCATGTTTGGTTAAAGACATGTATACATTTTATTATATTTAAGATGTTAATTATTTGTTAAGTTTTCAGAGATTATTTTTCTCAGGCAATGCCACAATGTCATATTTATGCATTTGCTTATTGATATAATAATAATAGAAGAATCTTTCATGTGGTTTTCTGAATAAAAGGCTGAACCACAGTATTAAGTATAATAAGGAAGAATATATATTTCAATTACAGGGTTCCATGGGAAGCCCTTTAACAAGGCCGGTTCCACGCTCACCAGCCAGTTGGTCTAGTCCCATCACTTCCCCAACCAATACATCACAAAATACTTTGTCACCAAGGTAAGATGCAGCTTAACTAAATGGATCCAAAGATAATTCTTGGCAAACATAAGTATTTTAACCATCAGTAGAAGGAACTGATGCAGGCCAATCTCCTGGAAGGGGGAAATAAAGTAGAGAAGCTATTTTTGCCAGTTCCTCCTAACTTTTGCAGCCTCCAGCACTATATACTACATTTCAGGGTCCCCCTAACCAATCCTTTAGAATAGATTTTCTGCGGCTTCAAAAGCTATGGGAGGAGTGGAGAGGCAAAAATTATTCTCCCCCCGCCTGCTGCCATGCACAGGGTTATTAAATCTTCATAACTCTAGATCCAGATTATCATATCTTACTGATTTTATCTTAACAAAACAGAGTTTTCAACAAAAAGAAATGAATGACTAGCTGTTATCTAGATCAGTGGTTCTTAACCTTTGTTACTCAGATGCTTTTGAACTGCAACTCCCAGAAACCCCAGTCAGGACAGCTGGTGGTGAAGGCTTCTGGGAGTTGCAGTCCAAAACTCCTGAGTAACCCAAGGTTAAGAACCAGTAATCTAGATCAACTCCCAAGAATATTTTGAATTTAGCTTTCTGAAAAACTGTAGTGATAAAATGTTTAAATGCCAAATCCAGTACCGCCTACCTACATTCATCCTTTCCCCTCACATTTAGTATCCTCATTTTCTTTGAATTACCCATCACAATGTCCTCAGTGCATACCAGAATGCTTTATTCAATACTAATACTGTATTGTCTCATTGTATTTTAATTAAAGATTTGTTTCATATTCAGTCCCAGATTACTGCAGTCCCTCCTCAAATCTGTCATCTTCAGATACTATTTACAAATACAGTATAGTGGTACCTTGCAAGACGATTGCCTCGTGGGACAATCCGCAAGACGATTGGTTTTTGCAATTGCTGTTGTGCTTCGCAAGATGATGTTTTCTATGGACAATTTTCGCAAGACGATGATTTTTTCCCCATTGGAACACATTAAATAGATTTCAGTGCATTCCAGTTGGGAACCGCGTTCTGCAAGACAATGTTTTCTATGGACAATTTTCGCAAGACAACGATTTTTCCCCATTGGAACACATTAAATAGATTTCAATGCATTTCAATGGGGAACCGCGTTTCGCAAGACAATGTTTTCGCAAAACAACGTTTTTTGCGGAACAAATTAGCATTGTCTTGTGAGGCACCACTGTACTAAAAAGGATCACATGAGTCTTATAGGAAAAACATAAGCAACACAAAAACTCATTCAAAGCCGTAAGCTAGAACAATCCATTCAAAAACCCTACTAAGGCAGACAGTCTCTAATGGAAAGCTTGCCTGAAGAAAAAGGCCTTCATCTGTTTGCAGAAGAACAATAACAATGGAGCCATCCTAGATTCCTATGGGAGGTAGTTCCAGAGTCTTGGAGCAGCGACAGAGAAGGCGCTCTCCCATGTACCCACCAAACACCTGAAAGGTGGCACAACTATGAGAAAGGCTTCTCCTGATGATCTTAACACTCAGACAAGCTCATAAAGGGAGATAAGATCCCTGAGATAGCCTGGGAACAACCTGTTCAGGGCTTTATAGGTTGAAACCAACACTCTGAATTCTTTAGGAAGGAACTGTAACTCAGTAGCAGAGAATGGTTTGTGTGCAGAAGATCCAAGGTTAATCTCTTTTAAAAACTTAAATAACATGTAATGGGCAAAACACTTCTACGCTTCATGCCTTCAGTTACAGCTGCCAATCAGTGGAGACATTACTAGGCAAAATGGGCAAATACATTGATCCAGTACAAGGCAGTTTGCTGAGTTTCATTGTTTTTCATGTGAGAATTCACATAGAACAATACCAGTTGGTAAGCGAAACATGCTGTTAAAATAAAAATAGCTTCACCTTGATTGTTCTGGTTTTTTACAGTGCATTTGATTATGATACAGAAAATATGAATTCAGAAGATATTTATAGTTCTCTCCGTGGAGTAACTGAAGCAATTCAGAACTTTAGCTTCCGCAGTCAGGAAGATATGAATGAACCTATGAAGCGAGATTCAAAAAAAGAGGATGTTGATGCAGTGAGTATTTCAGTTAGACTGAAAATAGAACAAAAGAATTGCATGTCCAAAAAGGGGGTAACCTTATTTATTCGTCATTTGTCTCATTTATAGACAGCCTTTCTCCTGACTCAAGACAGCCCACAGTATTAACAAAAAATTAAAACACAATAAATTATACATTGAAACCAATTAAACTATAATGTTGTTGTTGTTTAGTCGTTAAGTCATGTCCTTCTCACTTTCTGCCATCACAGTTGTATCATCTGCATATCGGAGGTTGTTGATATTTCTTTCGGCAATCTTAATTCTGGTTTGGAATTCATCCAGTCCAGCCTTTCGCATGATGTATTCTGCATATAAGTTAAATAAGTAGGGAGACAATATACAGCCTTGTCATACTCCTTTCCCAATTTTGAACCAATCTGTTGTTCCTTATCCAGTTCTAACTGTTGCTTCCTGTCCCACATATAGATTTCTCAGGAGATAGATAAGGTGGTGAGGCACTCCCATTTCTTTAAGAACTTGCCATAGTTTTTTGTGGTTGACACAGTCAAAGGCTTTTGCATAGTCAATGAAGCAGATGTTTTTCTGGAACTGTCTGGCTTTCTCCATAATGCAGCGTGTGTTAGCAATTTGGTCTCTAGTTCCTCTGCCCCTTCGGAATCCAGCTTGTACTTCTGGGAGTTCTCGGTCCACATACTGATGAAACCTACCTTGGAGGATTTGGAGCATAACCTTGCTAGCATGTGAAATGAGTGCAATTGTACAGTAGTTGGAGCATTCTTTGGCAGTGCCCTTCTTTGGGATTGGGATGTAGACTGATCTCTTCCAGTCCTCTGGCCACTGCTGAGTTTTTCAAACTTGCTGGGATGTTGAATGTACCACCTTAACAGCATAATCTGTTAAAATTTTTAATAGTTCAACTGGAATGCCATCACTCTACTGGCTTTGTTGTTAACCATGCTTTCTAAGGCCCACTTGACAAAATATTCTTTTAATATCTCCAATTTTCTTGAACAGATCTCTGATTTTTCCCTTTCTATTCTTTTCCTCTATATCTTTGTACTGTTCATTTAAGAAGGCCCTCTTGTCTCTCCTTGCTATTCTTTGGAAATCTGCATTCAGTTTTCTGTAAATCTCCCTATCTCCCTTGCATTGTATTTCCTTTCTCTTCTCTGCTATTTGTAAGGCCTCATTGGACAGCCACTTTGCTTTCTTCCATTTCCTTTTCTTTTGGATGGTTTTTGTTGCTGCCTCCTGTACAGTGTTACGAGCCTCCATCCATAGTTCTTCAGGCACTCTGTCCACCAAGTCTAGTTCCTTAAATCAGTTCTTCACTTCCACTGTGTATTCATAAGGGGTATGTTTTAGATCAGGCTTGTCCAACCCACGGCCTGAGGGCCGCTTGATGACAAGGTCAGGTCATAATGCAGCCCAGTGCAATTTTTTATTTTTAAAGAAATTCCAAAGTTTCAAGTTACACTGCCGGCGCTTGTGGCTGGAATGTGGCTGGGGCATGTCACAACAATAGAGGGGGAGAGAGGGAAGGAAGGAAGGAGTGGGAGGGGAGGGGACAGGAGGACTGCGTGACTGCATTGTGCCGTCCTTGTCAATAGGTGGACCCCCTCCCGGCCCCATAAAGCTGCCAGAGTTGAAGCTGGCAGCCTCTGCCCTCTGAGATCACAGCTGCTGGTAAGCGCGCTTGGAACGGGGCTGCGGAGGATGGCTAGGGCTGCCCCCCTCATGCAGCCCAAATCAAATGTATTTGCGGCCCAAACCAAATTTTCATCTTCTAATGTGGCCCAGGGAAGGTGAAAGGTTGGACACCCCTGGTTTAGATTATACCTGACTAGCCCAGTGGTTTTTCCTACTTTCTTTAGTTTAAGCTTGAGTTTTGGTATAAGAAACTGATGATCAGAGCCACAATCAGCTCCAGGTCTTGTTTTTGCTGACTGTATAGAGATTCTCCATCGTTGGCTGCAGAGAATATAATCAATCTGATTTCAGTATTGCCCATCTAGTGATGTCCAAGTGTAGAGTCGCCTCTTGTGTTGTTGAAAAGAGTGTTTGTGATGACCAGCTTGTTCTCTTGACAGAACTCTATTAGCCTTTGCCCTGCTTCGTTTTGAACTCCAAGGCCAAACATACCTGTTGTTCCTTTTATCTCTTGACTCCCTGCTGTAGCATTCCAGTCCCCTATAATGACAAGAACATCTTTCTTTGGTGTAAGTCCTAGAAGATGTTGTAAGTCTTCATAGAATTGGTCAGTTTCAGCATCTTCAGAATTGGTGGTTGGTGAATAAACTTGAATTACTGTGATATTGAAAGGTCCGCCTTGGATTCGTATTGTAATCATTCTATCATTTTTGAGATTGTATCCCAGTACAGCTTTTCCCACTCTTTTGTTGACTATGAGAGCTACTCCATTTCTCCTACGGGATTCTTGCCCACAGTAGTAGATATGATAATCGTCTGAATTGAATTCGCCCATTCCCATCCATTTTAGTTCATTGACACCCAGGATGTCAATGTTTATTCTTGCCATCTCCTGTTTGACCACACCCGGCTTACCAAGGTTCATAGATCTTACGTTCCAGGTTCCTATGCAGTATTTTTCTTTGCAGCATCAGACTTTCCTTTCGCCTCCAGGCACGTCCACAGCTGAGCATCCTTTCGGCTTTGGCCCAACCACTTCTTTAGCTCTGGAGCTACTTGTACTTCTGCTGTTCCTCAGTAGCATGCTGGACACCTTCTGACCTGAGGGGCTCATCTTCCAGCGTCATATCTTTTAGCCTTTTGTTTCTGTCCATGGAGTTTTCTTGGCAGGGATACTGGAGTGGCTTGCCAATTCCTGCTCCAGGTGGATTGCGTTTAGTCAGAACTCTCCGCTATGACCTATCTATCTTGGGTGTCCATGCACAGCATAGCCCATAGCTTCTCTGAATTACTGAAGCTCCTTCACCATGACAAGGTAGCAATGCATGAAGGGGAAACTATAATAGTAATTTAAAATGCATTGATTAACAACATTTAATCAATGTAACATTTAAACTTTGAAACAAACTTATCTAAAAACCAGCATTCAGGGACTCCGTTAAGGTTATTAAAAGCCTGCCTGAAGAGGTGGGTCTTTAACTGGCAGTGGCAAAATATAATGGAGGAAGTCAACTTAACCTCTCAAGTGGGAGATTCAACAACCTGGGAGCAGCTACAGAGATGTTTTTTTCTCATGGTCCCATAAAACATGGCTGCAATGGCAATGGGACTAATTGGAGATCCTTGTCTGATGATCTTAAGTACTGGGAAAGTTCATATGAGAATATACTGTTTTTCAGATAGCCTGGGCTCAAACTAAATGGTTTTTTTAGGAATAACCAGGGGTTGGAATTGTGCCTGGAAACAGACTTGTGGTCAGTGTAATTATTGTAGCAGTGGTATTATATGCTCCCTATAACTGGCCCCTGTCAATCTGGCAGCTGCATTTTGAACCATCTTCAAAGTCAGCACCACATAGAATGCATTACAGTAATCCAAGCAGGATGTAACTAAGGCATTGTTACTGTAGTCAAATCATACATCTCAAGAAACGGGCACAGCTGGTGCATCAGTTTCAACTGTGCACATGGACTCCTGACCACTACCAAATTCTGGGCATCCAGGCTGAGAGATGAATCCAGGAGCACACCTGAGCTGCAGATCTGGGTTTTCAGGGGTTGCTGAGTGGCCAGCATGTTGCTCTTTTGCTGGGGTGCATGTTAAACCCCTTTTCACTTGAAACAACTCTGCAAGGTGACTTTGTGGAGACACAGTGCTGGCAGAGCAGAATCCTTTCCTCTGACATGACCCTATTTTATTGTTTTGAAGTCTTTGATCTTTATTAAGTTCATAGCATATTGTAGAGGATATAGAAAGTTATTATTTTATTGTACATTGTGCATAAACCACTGAAAGATTATAGTATTGTGAGTTTTTTTTCATCTCCTACTGGAGGTTGAATATTTGGAATATTTTGACTTCTATACAGGAGTATTATATATGTAAGAGTTATAAATAAATCTTGGTCTACTGTTTTTTAATATGTCTCTTTTTGTTTATTAGATTTGTAGTGGGTCTGGCATAGTAGATCTGCGAGCAGGAGGTGGAGCCAGTGATACAGGTCGAACAGCTCTTGACAACAAAACCTCACTACTCAACACAATGCCTCCTCATTCTTCCCCACGGTCACGTGATTATAATCCATACAACTACTCAGATAGTGTTGGTCCTTTTAATAAATCAGCTTTAAAAGAGGCCATGTTTGATGATGATGCAGACCAGTTTCCTGATGGTGAGTCTACTGTGCTGCAGACAATACTGGGAAAAGTATATCTGGAGGGATCAATAAAGGTGATGTGGGAAAAAAATAACCTAATCAAAAGAGATACAGATGTTAGACAAAATCCATGACATACCGAAACACAACTAGCACCTCAGTGATGAGTAGCAATTTGTCACCAAGACCTATACAATTTCCTTTATGTAAATATAACTCAGCAATAGAATTCGGGCCATCTTGAATTACTGTAAGCTAAATGAAATTCTGATACTTGCTACATTTACTTGAAAATACAGAAGAATTTATTCAAAATGCAGAAGGGTGAAACTGCATTGGTGTCTAAAAAGATTACACTAAATGTAAATGGAATCAGATCTTACATGTGTATATTCTAGAGTTGTTAGGCGTGTTTCCATCTAGATTTGTATTTATGTTGGTAACAGAACATTTTTCCTATTCAGAGCCTTTTTGGGGGAAAGGGCAATTAAGACTGTGTGAAATATAATGAAATGCAAGCATATGAATTCTACTTAGGCTGATTGAGGAAGAAGCCTGTGCCTCCTAACTTCCATAATAACCAAGGCCATTCATGCAGATGAAGTAATTGAGGAAAAGAATATAATTTACAGTAAAACATAAATAGGAAAATATCAGGTCAGGTTAGGTTTTCCATAACACATGCAGCCAAAAGAAAATATAAGTTTGGGTAAAGATAATTTCCAATTAAAGAGGGAGGGCTCTTACCTTTCAATGATAAAAAAGCACTGCAATATTTTGCTGAGAAAATATTTTTAGGTAAAACACAGAATGTTTGCATTGTCTAAGCTTCTACAGAAAAGAGATTCGTAAGAACTAAATTCAGCTCATATTTTCATAGTTTGCATAAAAGTATATTCCCTCATTTTATTTTTATGGTATCTGTAGAATATCTGAAGAGGTCCTTGATTTTATAGAAATAATGGCATTTTTGGCCATCTGGCCAAAAGGAGGGCATTTACAGAGCTGCTACATTATCTTGGCGTCCTTTCACAGAATACCAGAGGACTAATGTAGTGTTTTGCTTTGCTTTGCTTTCTTTTTCTTCAGTGGGAGAGTGCTTCAGAGTGTTCTGGAAGCCTGAGCTCAGGCTGTATTTGGGTTCTGTTGTTTAATTAACTAAATAAATCACAAATAGAGAGAATGAAAATTTGCTTACTGATGAATTCTCTTGTTGGCAGCAGTCCAGGACTCATCTTACCTTGAGATAGTTCATCTTTCTTTAAATTTTTCACTTGGGGTCCCAGCAGTTTTGGGCCCTGCATCCCCATTGTAGTTAGGTGTATTTTGGAAGTTTTGGGTAGAGTGGATTATAGTTACATCACTAGTAACTGTCTCAAGGATTCAAAATTCCTCTAATTTGGGTCCCTGGCAATCTTTTTAAAAAGAACCTGAATTCTCATGAATAGATAACATCTAGAGGTATCAGCTACTCTGTCTCATAAGTAGTAATAAAATTTGCCAGTAAGTAAATAATCAATTTCCAAGATACGTCTCAAGTAAAATAAAATGCATATTGTTTGACTATTATAATAGTAGTATCACATCCTGGAATGCATTTTTTTGCTTTGCTTTTGTACCAAACACCCCACCAAAAAGTCATTTTTAATTCACAGTTTTTATTTATTCATACTTTCCTTTGGCATAGAACCACCCCTAGATCATTCAGACCTGGTAGCAGAGCTGCTAAAGGAATTATCAAATCATAATGAGAGAATTGAAGAAAGGAAGTCTGCTCTTTACGAACTAATGAAATTGACTCAAGAAGAGTCTGTTGGTGTTTGGGATGAGCACTTCAAAACAATTCTGCTTCTCTTACTTGAAACTCTTGGGGACAAAGAGGTAAGGCAGAAAATGGTAAAAAGGTAAAAATAGTTTTAGCTTTTTTACTTCCCTATTGCTTGTCTAGATTTGGGGAAAGATTGATATTAATGTTCTCCTGAAAGTAATCAATGGTTGAAATCCTGTTGCACAATTTTGCAAATGGCATAATTTTTGGAAGATAATTGCTGTAAATTAATAAATCTCAGTAAATATCAGTTGCATATACAGTTACACAATACTGCATCCAACAAACAATGCCTGTGGAAATTTCTTAACTTATGGCAGTTTGTGCCATTTGTGTAACTAAAAGTTATGCTGTTTGCATAACTGCAACAAGATTTTAGCCAGCGTGTCAGCATTAACATTTCATGGTAGAAGATTAAAAAGAAACCAGACACGTCCCGTTTTCTTGGTACAGTCTCTTCGTACATACATGCAAACAGCTCGTGATGGCCTTCAGTTTAACAACCTATGCTAATCACTGTTGGAATAAGTTATTTTTTTAAATGCTGAGGTTGGTGTTCAGTGTTTTTATGGCATGGAAGGGAATTACACTTCTCCACTAGTAATGGTGAAGTCAGAATGTTTAGTAAAGACTTGTGACCATGCTCTGTATTTACACTGATATTAGATGTGCTCCTTTACTGCAAGCCTGTTAAAATATATTCTGATGTTAGCACCAGGTAAGTGTGCTATTCACTGCAGATGTTGTGCTGTGAGAAAAGATCTTTATGCACCCATTTTAAAAATAATAGTCAGAAATTGTTCTTATTTTCATAGATCCAGAAAAGAAGAAATTCTGGAAACATGGAACTAAGAGTATGAGTACCATAGGGAAGTTGTCCCAGCTTGGATTAGGCTCACCTGGGTTGATGGGACTTTGAATGGCATTTAGATTGAGTTTTCCACTCACCTGGAAGCATTCACTTTATCCTGGCAAGAGACCACATGCACTTCAAATGTTGAAATTTTTACCCTCTTCTGTCATTTGTACTAAGCCTCTTCCCTGTCCTTCCTTTATTCATCTGGGCATTTCCTTACATAATACTGAATTCCTTTAATATTTTGTAAAGTGCAGTGCTTATGTTAACTAGCGACGACAGCTAGATGGGGGAGCAATTTGGGCTTCTCCAACACAGTACTGCATCTGATAAAATAGTTTTTTAAAAAAAAGTGTTGGAGCAGAAACAACAGGAGAGGGTGTTCTTTCTGTACATTGCCAGAGGAAGGTGGATTACCAGTGATGCTGTATTATGTATAATGCAAAAAAAGTGTTAATCTGCTGGGAACAAGGAAACTATTTTGGGTTTGCAGTAGATCACTTCTTGGAACTGCCCACAGCACTGTACAACCATCTTACCTGAAGGAGAAAACCTGAAGGAGCCCCTGCTAGTGAACCAAAAATGTTTGAACTGCTGGGGGGAAAGGCTGGGTTGGTTCTCCTTTGTGGTCTCTGTGAATACACACTAATGGGTTAATCTGTGTCTGAGCAGAGCAGCCTCAGAAGCTTCTATAGCTTTAAGCACTTGGTTCCAGGACCTCCCACGTAGGCTATATCACGGGCCCCCCCACCGGCACCCAGTGCCTCAGTTTCTTTTTTGTCCACCAAAAGCAGCTTAGTTAAAAACTTCGCATTTTTTTAAAAAATACTAATCCTTACCTTTCTCTTCTCTTGACCTCCCTGGCTTGATCTTTCTTCAGTAACTATGAGTAACCTGCATAAACAAATGGATAATTGTTAATTAGCCTCAATAAGAGGTTTGTTTATACAAGTTGTTTCTTCTGCCTGGGGCAAGAGCACTAGCCGGTGTTATGTATCTTTTGTAAGAGCTTTACAAAGCTGGCTTTGAAGCAGCGCCTCAGGGCTTTTCTCTGAGAAAAGTTTCTTTTGCCTTCTTAACAATAGCTCCATAAGGTGGGGAGGAGCTGCTTCCGAAGCCAAGGCAACAGGCTCGAGAGCAACAACAACTGGAGATATCCCGGCAACATACGGTAGCCCTAGCTTTCCCCTTGGGAAAAGAAAAGGGGCCCCTGCAGCTCCCACTGCCATCCCCACCTGTCAGCGATATTCCTGACTGGGGTAGCACCTCTTTGGAGGTTGATGAATTGGTGCAAAACAGCCCGACGCCAGCAGAGGCTCATAGGAAAAGGATTCATAGAAGCCGACCCAATTGAGGGAACCCTGTGGCCATCCGGCGTACTCGAGAAGTTTTCCCTGCTCTTCAGTGGGGTCCTATCATGCTGACAAGTTCAGTGAGATCCGTCCTTTTATCCAGTGCCCTACTATACCGACTCATATTTTCAGTATTCGAGCTATGAGCCTTATCCACCACCCTTTCTGCCACCACCAGCCCCCCACTCTACCTGGCACCATTTTGAGCCACGAGCTAAGGAATGCCATGTGCCTCCACCAACACCTTGAAGGAATAGTGCTCCCTCGAACTCAGCTCCGGCGGTGGGAACAAAGTGTCCGCAGGTTTGACTGAACCCCCAGTTAACCCATTCAGCCTTCTCCGCCCCGGCGGCTGATCTCGAGACTGATCTTGGTCGGGTTCACACGAAGGAAGACTTCTCCCCAAATCGTCGGAAGGACTTAGCTTGTTTGGATTGGGATTCACAAGAGTCAGAAGGGGAGGATGATTTTCCAACCAATCTTCCTATACCCATGTCAAGGAAGACAGATAAGGTATTTGAGGACATTGCGCAGGACCAGCCTCTACCCGTTTGTCTTAGATTCATCCCTTCCTTTTCTGAACTTATGAGGAATGCTTGGGCTAGGCCCTCTACTACTTATCAAAAAGGAGAGTTGAGATTTTATATAAGCTTTCTGGGACCGATGCTGTTTCCCTCTTCTGAACTCATTCCTAGTGGACAGCATGCAAAACAGAGCTCGGAATCATTCAAATGCTTTCCCCTTCAATAAGGAAGTTCGTAAATTGGACATCTTTGGTCGGCGATTTTTATCTCTGGCCTCCTGTGTCCTTTGTGTAGCCAATTACTCCACTGCCATGGGTGCTTATCGTCGTCACTTATGGAATTTGGCACTGCCAATTCTCCAGGCAGCTCCTCAGCACCTTCGCAGCCAGGGCCTCTCATATCACCAGGGGGCAATGAAGCTGACACATCGCAAGCCCATTGCTGCTCGTCATGCCTTGGAAGGAGCATCCAAAGAACTGGCCGCTGCCATCTCTTTATGGCGGCATGCTTGGCTAAGATCTTCCAGTATATCAGAAGATGTGAGGGCACGGGTCAAGGACCTGCCATTGATGGAGTAGGGCTTTTTGATCAGAAAACTGATGATATTCTTGATAACCTGCTCTAGCTCCAGGAGATGGCATGGTCATTTGCAACGCAACAACCTTGCCCAAAGAGTACCTGGAGACGCTCCTACCAGCCTAGAGCATCCCAGGAATGTCAAAGGTCCCAACCCCAAGGTTACCAACCACCACCCCCTAGGCAAGTAGGGAGGCAGCGCCCTGGCCAACAAAACCACAGGCAGCACTACCAAGCAGTCTCTGTAATGCACCTGACTTCTGTGTTATTGACCAATCAGTCCATTTGACCCCTTTTCTTTCCAATTGGTGTTCCTTCATGTCTGACACTTGGGTACTCTCTATCATAGCTACCGGCTATACCGTTGAATTTGATTTATCCCCTGTCACAGGCCACTTTAAGGCCACTCCCCTTCCCCTTTGGAAGATGAAATTCTGGCCTGTTACGAAAATATGCCATTGTTCCTTGGCACCATCCCCAAAAAGGATGGAGGCCTCCGACCCATCCTTGACCTTAGAGGCCTGAATTCTTTCATTACTCCACAAAGATTCCGTATGGTTTCTCTGGACTCTGTTATTCACATGTGACATCCAGGGGATTAGTTTACTGTGTTTGACCTGAAAGATGCTTATTTCATGCTAGCATCTGGTCAGACCATCTATGCTTTCTCATGTTTTCAGTTGGAGGAATCACTGTTTACCCCATGTTTGAATAACTGGCTCCTGGTCGTTGTGTCCAAATCACAAGCTTGTAAATACACGTCCTTGACACTGTCTCTTTTGTCAGCATTAGGACTAAAGGTCAATATAGCGAAGTCAACTTTGCAACCTACACAACGTGTAAATTAAATTGGTGCGACTTTGGACATTTTCATGGGGCAAGCTATTCTCCCTGACAACAAAATAGTGAAAAATGCATGGTTTGTTGTGCTCCTTTTCCTCAGACACTTGGATCCCTTTCTACAGGTTCAGCGACTTCTGGGGCTGATGGCATCTAC